TGAGCAACGTCTGCACAGGATCTAGTCCCAGCAGATGCTGTGCTATATTAGGTTGAACTCAGCTGTGTATTGGCTCATCTCATTCTGATGGTCCCAAGAATGAAACCACTCTGCAGCCTCCTCCTTATGACTGTATGCTGGTTGTTCTTGGTATCTCTCGTGAACTTGCTGGCTTAACACATTCTGTTTCTTCTAATATAACAAATATTATTTCCAAATCCTCTGACAGAATGTCCTCTATATACATTTCTAAGACGGTTGTTTAGCTTTCTGTTCAGTATGGACTCCCCAGTAATTCTGAGGCTCAAAAGTGATTGTGTGTTTTAAAGTCGGAAAGAAGGTCAGTGTGGCTGAAATACAGGGAGTGAGGGAGAGAGTAGCATGAAATGAGACTGAAGAAGTAGGCAGGGGCCCGATCATGCAGGACCTCAGAGGTCTGGATAAGCAGTTTGTATTTTATCCTAAGTGCAAATGGACCCATTACCTGCTGCATGTCACAGCCAGCTCCTCTTCCTACTTAGCACTGGAGCTGAGGACCAATGAGGACTCCCTCTAGGAGGTGCCCTGCTCTACACAGTGGATGGCGGAGCTATATCCTGGGTGCTCTAGGCGTCAGTCAGTGCTCTCACCAACCTTCATTCTGTTTTTCTTCTGTTTCAGAGGTTGTGTTCTCATCTCACCCTGGATTTTCAACCTCAGAGGTAGGAACTGACTACTGTTTGTATTCCTGAGTTAGAATATTAATTTTAATAGACCAAATAAGTTAATGGAGCCATGAGAGTCATTTCTGTAGATGACACTGAGGAAGCCCATTGAATGAATAGATATTTGCCAAGTACCTACCATGTACCAGGTCCTGTGCTGGCCACAGACAGACAAGTCTTGACCTTACCTGCCTACTCTTTCATTGTTCTTACATGCTGTTTAGCATAATGTAATAATGGCAGCTGCCTCAAGAATAAAATTGGCATTGAAGTGGGGCTGCTACCAGGAGCTCCCTAACAAGAGTCCCCCAAAGCTGGCAAAGTCCTTGCCAGAAACACCACTATCCAAGACCTAATCTTTGATGTCACAGACTTAGACCCTTGATTTTTGTCAGCACAGAAATATTTTTTTCCCTCTCATGGCAGATGCTCATGGAAACTGGTGCACGTAAACTAGATATTGATTAACTCATTTATAGTAAATAGAACATCTCTTCATTTAGCCAACCTGCATCCTTGAGAGGTAGCTCAGTATACAACCTTCCCACAGATACAACTGTGTGAGAAATTCTATCAGTTAACTATAGCTGCTTACCAAACCAACCCAATAACAATTCATTATTTTTCACCACTCACAATTGAATTGATGAGGTGATTCTACAGGTTTCGCCAAGGCTCACTCATGCAGCTGCATTTAGCTGGCAGAGGGGCTGGGGGCTGGGTTCAGGTACACGGCTGGCATGGCTTGGCATCTTCTCTCTTTACGATCTTTTTCTCCTGGGCTTCATTACAGTATGGTTGCATTATAGCATCAGAGTTTCAAGAGAGCAAGCGTAAACTGAAAGTTCTGAAATTGAAATAGTGTCACTTCTCCACATTCTTTTGGTCAAAGCAAGTCAAAAGCCCACTATTATACTGCTGTACAATTCTGACACTGACCCCTGAGTTCGTGCAGACCCCCACAAATTAAGCATAGACCCCACAAGTGAGGGTAGTTCCCAACAAGATTGCCCTCACTTCAGAGGCCAGCCACAAATTTGGGAGTCCCCAGGCTATCCACACTTTGACCAACTGGCTATAAATTCAAGCGTTTCCACAACCTACTCAGGTTTAGTAACTTTCTAGAACAATTCACAGAACTCAGGAAAGGGTTATACTTACAATTACAGTTTTACTATAATGCAGCAGTCTTCAACCTTTTGGCACCAGGGACCAGTTTTGTAGAAGGCAGTTTTTCAATGGACTGGGGTGGGGTGGGTGGTTTCAGATGATTCAAGTGCATTACATTTATTGTGCACTTTATTTCTGTAATTACACTGTAATATATAAATAATCGTACAACTCACCACAATGTAGAATCAGTGGGAGACCTGAGCTTGTTTTCCTGCAAGTAGATAGATGGTTCCATCTTGGCGTGATGGGAGGCAGTGACAGATCATCAGGCATTAGATTCTCATAAGGAGTGTGCAATCTATATCCCTCACATGCCCAGTTCACAATAGGGTTTGTGCTCCTATGAGAATCTAATACTGCTGCTGATCCCACGAGAGGTGGAGCTCAGGAAGTAATGTAAGCAATGGGGAGCTGTTGTGAATACAGATGACGCTTCGCTCACTCACCCATTGCTCACTTCCTGCTGTGCAGCCCAGTTCCCAAAAGGCTAGGGACTGGCACTGGTTTGTGGCCCAAGGGTTGCCCACCTATAAATGATACAAATCAGGACCAGCCAGATGAAAAGGCATATACAGTGAGGTCTGGGAGGGTCTGAGAGCTTTCATGCCCTCTCACTATGGAATCAGGGCATGTCTCCGTCCCAGCACATTGATGTGCTCACCAATCAGGAAGCTCACCCATACCTCAGAGTCCAGAGCTTTTAATGGAGGCTCACTGGCCACCTGATAGAACTCAATCTCCAGTCCCTTATCCTTCCCAGTGGTCCGGCTGGCGCAAAGCCCCAACCCTCTAGTCATGTGGTTAGTCTTTCTGGCATGGCCAGCCTCCATCCTGAGGTATCTCATTACCATAAATTCAGGTGTGACTCAAGGGGTCCTGCATAACTAAGATACTCCTGTAACTCAGAAAATTCCATCAGTTTTAGAAGCTCAATGCCAGGAACCTGGGACAAAGACCAGCCAAATTGTTTCTTATATAACAGTCAGTCTAATTTCCAAAGAGGGTAGAGACATGATCTCACCTCTGAATGGGAGGAGCAACCAGGTCACACTGCAAAAGGGCATGTATGTGGGATAGAGGCACTTGTGGCCAATTAACAGTCTACCACAGAAGTCAAAGATAATTTTTTTTTTTTTAAATTCTGAGATGGAGTCTTGCTCTGTTGCCAGGCTGGAGTGTGGTGGTGCAATCTCAGCTCACTGCAACCTCTGCCTTCTGGGTTCAAGCGATTCTCCTGCCTCAGCTTCCCGAGTAGCTGGGACTACAGGTGTGTGCCAACATGCCCAGCTAATTTTTGTACTTTAGTAGATACAGGGTTTCACCACGTTGGCCAGGATGGTCTCCATCTCCTGACCTTGTGATCTGCCTGCCTCAGCCTTCCAAAGTGCTGGGATTACAGACATGAACCAGTAATTCGTAGGACTGCTCAGTGCTCAGATCAGCTCTCTGACATCTGAAAATCTAGAAAGTGAATTGGATAGTTGAGACTTTTAGTGGCCTTTCTCCATTAAAATCAGAGGCATCCCCCTCTAAGACAGGGTCCTCTCTGCCCCGAGCAGGGCCAGTTATGCCCTTGGTTCAGGAAATTCTTCATCCTGACTCTGGCTTTTCCTTTTTTGTGCTCCAGTCTGACTTACCCATTTCAGTTCACATAGCCTTGCTCCAAGTAGGGAATTACTAGTAGAGGAGACTGCCTTATCAGACTGCCACAACATTCCACTCCTGCATCTCAGAGATTGCCTTGGGATCACTGAGAGAGGCGAGTTGTCTGAGTTCCCAAACACCATCACTGGCTTTTGTTTTATTCTCACCCATGACTGACATGTCCACTTGTGTGGTTTTTACAAGTTGACCCAGAAGGGTACAAAACACTTGGCCCAAAGGAAATGCCCCACAGATGTTCACTGAATGAACAAGCCACATTTAAGTGACTTGCTCAACATTCCATAGTGATTAATGGAACTTAGAACGGAATCTAGTCCATCTGAACTTAACCATTAGCCCAACATCTACCCTTTGGTCCCATCGAACTCAGGAATCAGTGAGTGTTCTGGGTTTTGTATAGTTAAACCAACAATTACCTTTTCTGCTTGATCAAATATGTTGAACCTGTAGTAGTCTGGGTTGTATGAAAAGAACATGACCCTGCAAAGGATTCAGATGCAGCATGCCACATTCAGCCCCCGTGGGCCGGCTGAAGTCATTCAGGACTGTTGTTTCATCCTCAAATGAAGAACCTCCACTGGAGGATGGTGGCTAGCCCATCAGAGCATTTGTCTTGAGAAGGCTCAAGACACCTCCTTCTCCCTCTCCCCACTAGGAAAATTCCCTTAACAACACAAGCACCTGCCCCTTTGCCTTCTGGAGAATTAGCCCAACTGTGTAGAAGGGCCAATTCAGGGTAAGCTGCTGTAGGGCAGAGGGAAGGGGTGGAGACCAAGTACTTCTGGTGTCTGCACGAGTGCTGTAGTATCCTGTGGCCACAGAAAACTTGAAAATGGAACTTTGGATGCTCCAAAATTAGCTCATCAGGTGACCTAAGAGCACTTGGACCCAGAATTCTGGGCTGATGGTGACCCTACAGGCCTCTTTTGGCCAAGTCTCTCTAGGAAGGTCATTCATTCCACCATATTCCATTGAAAGGGTCTGTTGGCCTTTAGTGGCCTTAAATTAATTATTATTGGGCACTTTGATTTTGATTTTTTCTTCTTTCCAAGAAAACCAACATATGTTCACTTCCTCCCATATTTGAGATTCTTCCTGTGAAGTCACTGAAGGCCAGGAACCAGACGCTGGCCCCACCCTTCCCAGAGCTGAGACACCTTAGCCTGGCCTACAATAAGGTGACTTTCTGCTCCTCTACTCTTTCCTCAGGGGCACAGATGGGAGGGGTGGGATGCAAGCTGCTCTGGTCTAAAGACCAACCCTCCATTCAATTCCCTGCCTTATAGGTACAAGGGCTCAGGAATTCTCAGGGTGGGGAAAGTGGAAGGAGTTCAGGTCAAGGTCGGAGTCCATCTCTTCGGTCACAGATATTTACTTAGCACTTACCAAGTATCAGGCTCTGTGCTAGACACTGGTATACAACTGTGGAAAGAGACTTGGCCTCTGCCCTTTTGCAACTTATCACCTAGAAGGAAGACTGAGGTGGACAAATCATCACAATACAAGCATGCTTAGTGTTATGCAGAAATTCACTGTGTAGGAAGTAAATGATGGAGGGGAGGTATCTAACCTAATACTTAGGATCAAGGAAGGTTCTCAAGAAAGTGATGTTTAAGCTGAGATCTGAATCAGTGAGTTTAATCACGTGAAGAGGGTGTGTCAAGTGAGGGTAGAAATGTTGTAGCCTAAGGGGAACAGCAGATATAAAGTCCATGGGACAGATTTAACATATTTTTCCAATATCCATGTCCTGTTTGGTTTTCTGTAAAATCTCACTAACTGAGCCCTACTCAAGTCTGAAATGCAAGAAACTTGTAAGATACTCTGCTTACATTCCTTCCATAGCAAGCAGCTGGTACAGCTAAACTCCCCAAGTGTTTTCTTCTGAGGGTTTTATAGTTCTCTTACATTTAGGTCTTTGTTCTATTTCAAGTTAATCTTCATATAGTGTAAGAGAAGCATCAGCTTCATTCTTTTGCATGTGGATATCCAGTTTTCTCAACGCCACTTATTGAAAAGACTATTCTTTCCCCCACTGAAAGGTTTTTACACCCTTGCCGAAAATCAGTGGACCATAGATGCATCATGGGTCCCTCTTCTTGAAATTGGTAATTTATGTCTTTTATTGATCCAAAATACTTAGACATTACCTCTTCTATTGACTTTTTCTTATTAAACTAACTGCTGGTTTCACTGGATATCTGTTTTCCATTTCATTGATACTGTACTTCTCTTTTACTTACAATGATTTTAATTTACTTCTCTTTTTCTTGCATATTAGGCAGTATAATTTTAGATAATTTAGACCTTTCTTCTAATATAAGCATGTAAATCTTTACGTTTCTTCTCCAAGCACTACTTCCTACAAATTGTAATATATTTTCTTTTTATTTTCATTCAGTTAAACTGTTTTCACTTTTTCCTGTGATTTCTTTGATCCACAGGTTGTTTAGAAGTGAGTTAATTTCCAAATATATGGGGCTCTTCTAGGTACCTTGTAAGTGTTTATTTCTAATTTGCTTATCTTGTGTGCAGATAACATAATCTGTAAGATGTCATTCTTCTGAAATCTATTGAAACTTGTTCTATGATTCGTCCTATGGTCGGTCTGTCTTGGTGAACATTCCATGTGCATTTCAAAAACTATGTTTATTCTGAAGTTTTGGAGTACAGTGTTCTACAAATATTAGGGTAAGGTGGTTGGTCATGTCACTTGGATCTTCTCTGTACTCTTGTCTACTTATTCTATCAATTACTGAGACCAGTGTGTTAAAATTTCCAGATGTGGTTGTGAATCTGCTTATTTCTCCCTTTAGCTCTCTCAGTTTTTATTCCATATATTTTGAAGTCTGCTATTGATGCACATACATTTAGAAGAATTATTATATCTACCTAATGTATGGATACTTTTATAATTATGAATTGCCCTTTTTTTGCCTCATAATAATCCTTGTCTTGATGTCTATTTTGTTTGATTTAAATACAGCTACATAGCTTCCTTATACTTACTGTTTGCAAGATATATCTCTTTCTATCCATTTACTTTCAACCTATTTATATCTTTGTAGTTAAGCTGTGTCTCTTTTAGACACCATGTAGTTGGTTTTTCCTAGAGTGCCAGAGTGTTTTTCCAGTGTTCCTGTTTTGTCCTCAGCTTTCATCCTTCCCTGAGTGCCTGTACCTCAGAGTTTATCTCTGCACGGTTGTTCCTCCCCCTAGCAGTAGACTGCTTTTGCTTGTTCCTTAGTGCTTTCTAGTAACGTGGTGGTAGGGACCAAAGGGAGGCTTTAGCCCCAGTCTTTTCTCAGTGGTCCTACCCCCCCAGCAGTAGCAGACCTCTAACATACTAGGCCCAGGTTGGTTTCCAGCTCCAACGCCAAGAGTAGTAGGTTTTTTTTCCCTACCCAAGATACAATGTGCCAGACTGACAGGGTTTGCTGATCTTCCTCGGCAGCTGTAGGCTTTTGTTCACTATGGAGAAGGGTAGGTAGGGCCGCCTGCATTTTTTTTGGGGTAGCCATCGCCTATTCCAGGCCCACAGCACCAAAGAAGGCTGTCATCCATCCCTCTCCTGCCTCCAATCTTTCTCACACTACTGAGTGTGAACTCCCTGGGTGTTTGCAGCTTAAAGGAGTTTACTCTAGGCCAAGCTTGGTCTTTATACATTCACTAAAATTTTTAGCCAATTTCTTCTTAAGTGCTTGTGTGGCGCTCACATCTGCCACATTCTGCCATAGGCAGGCCAGTGTCCGTGTCCCATCTCTCCTTGGAGGTGCCAGTATTTCCTTAGATTTCAGGCCACATGATTGTCCTGAGACCTTAGCTCTCTACTGGACTCAAGAAAAGTTATGATTTTATAAGTTATTCTGTTTTTTTCTTGTTATTCAGCACTCTTTCCATTTGTCTATGTTTGCACCTTAGTTTTTAAATGGTATTTTTCTTTATGATAGTTACCACCTAACGTATTATATATATTTTTTTGCTTTTGTTTTTAAGACGGAGTCTCATTCTGTCACCAGGCTGGAGTACAGTGGCACAATCTCAGCCCTCTGCCTCCCGGGTTCAAGTGATTCTCCTGCTTCAGCCTCCCGAGTAGCTGGGACTACAGGCACGCCATGTGCCACGCCCAGCTACTTTTTGTATTTTTAGTAGAGACGGGCTTTCACCATGTTGGACAGGATAGTCTCAATCTCTTGACCTCATGATCTGCCCGCCTTGGCCTCCCAAAGTGCTGGGATTACAGGTGTGAGCCACCGCACCCGGCCTACGTATTATGTCTTTTTGTCTATTGTCACATATCTACTACCAGAATGTGCTTTTCTTTTTTAGCACTAGGACTTCCTTTTGCTTACATCTATATGCTCATTATCTAGAATATTACCTGATACATGATAGGTGCTCAATAAGTTTGATGAATGATTTTTCTTCTTTTTTTTTTTTTTGAGACGGAGTCGTGCTCTGTCACCCAAGCTAGAGTGCAGTGGCACGATCTCAGTTCCCTGCAACCTCCACCTCCCAGGTTCAAGCAATTCTCCTGCCTCAGCCTCCTAAGTAGCTAGGACTACAGGCACCTGCCACCACGCCTGGCTAATTTTTGTATTTTTATTAGAGATGGGGTTTCACTGTATTGGCCAGGCTGGTCTCGAACTCCTGACCTCGTGATCCACCTGCCTTGGCCTCCCAAAGTGCTGGAACTGCAGGCGTGAGCCACTGCGCCCAGCTTCATGAATGATGTTTTCATCATGTCAAATATTACAACTACCTGTGTTGAAATTAATATTCAATTTATTAAAGTTACAAGCTTCAAAATAAATTCTGCCTTTAAACACAACTTATACATGTAGAATATTCATCAGAAAATCACTCAGAATGTTCACTAGAAATTCTCATGTCAAAAGTAAAATAACTTTCACTTGTTCTTTAATACTTAGTTCATAAATGTGATAGATTGTTATACTCTCCTTAAACCAACAAGATTGAGCAGAAATGTAAAGTTATCCATTGGAGCCTGAATGTATCTGCAGAAGCATTCAGCTCACCCTAGAGGGAACAGACTAGCCCCATGGCCAGACTTCCGCTTGCTATGTCAGCCAGAATCCTAAGCCCATACCTTTCAGCTGAGCTTAATTTCACAGAAAATGACCCACATGACCTGAGTATCATTCAACTTTTTATCAATTTTTAATTGTAACTTTCTTCAACTTTTTAATGACCTAGTTTGGGCAAATGTAACTTTGCATCCTGACAAAATTAAATTCTGCGTCTCCCATTCTTTAGTGATTGTCTCTTGATCCCCTGATTTGCACGCAAAAGACTGTGCACCCACTCTGACCACCATGAGAGTCATTTATCAAAACATATTTGGCACTGTTTTAGGTTCGTCTTCTATCTCTGAGGTCTAGATAAGATGGCAGCAGACTTTTATATTTTACTTTGTTGCAACTACTCTGCCCTTGCAGGAAAAAAGGCAATATGGCAACAAATGAGAAAGGCAATATTCTAATGAAACTTTAGTAAATGGATCATGGGCCATATTTGGGCCATGGGCTGTATTTGCCAATCTTGGTTTTGGTACAGCCTGTGTGCTAAGAGTGGTGTTTGCATTTTTTAATGATTGAAAAAATCAAAAGGATAAAATTCCATGACACATTAAAGTTATATGAAATTCAGATTTCAGGATCCATAAATAAAATTTTATTGGAAAAGAGCCACCACACCTATTTATATATGAATTATCTATGGCTGATTTTGTGCAATGATAATAAAACTGAATAGCTGCAGCAGAAACCATATGGTCTGCAAAGCCTAGACTAGTAGATTTACTAGAATCACTGTGTTTGGCAGAAAAGGTTTGCCGATCCCTGGTCTAGAAGATCAAATGTTAAAGTCCCTAAAGGCCTACTCCTAGTCCCTTTTCTTCTCACTCCCTACTGTCTCCACAGGGATGACTTCAGATACCCATTGGCCCATGAACAGTGACTCACAAATTTCTAACTCTAAGGCAGACCTCTCTTCTGTGTTCCAGACCAATGTATCCAACTGCCTATTTGACATTTCTACCTGGAAGCCTCAAAGGTACCACCAACATACAAATACCCAAAGCAAATTAATAAATTTTTTCTTCAAATTTTATGTTGTTTCATTGTTCCCTATCTAGTGAACAGCTTCAAAATCTTCCATCCAGTTACTCAAGCCAAAACCTGGCTGTCAACTTTGATACTTCTCTTTTGCACCTCCCCATCTACCCCTGCCCCCACTAATATCTCATTCATCACCAAGTCTTATCAAATTTAGGTCCTCATATTTCTCAAATCCATCTAATTTTATAATAAGCCGCCACTTGCAGGCTGGCTTCACAGGGCATTCTCTGTGTCCCAGACAGCCACAAGGTGTCCCTTAACACTGGCTCTACTTATCACTTAGATGTGTGGGTCCTCCTTTCCCCCTGTTCATCCCCAGATCAGTGCCCAGATTCCTCCAAAGACCAAAATCTTAAACTACCTTTGGTTTGGCCCCTACTTGCATTTCCAACCTCATTTTGCACCAGGCACCCGCTTTCTATATACTTTTAGTCACACTAGCCTTCTTTAAACTCCTCCAGCAGGCTGAGGTCTTTCACACATTTTTCTCTTTGTATAGAACACTTCCTCTCTGCAACAAACTTAAATATCTTAATCGCATAACACAATAAAAGTGTATTTCTTGCTTTTACAAAGTCCATCATGGATATTCCTGGTTGGCAGGTGGACTTCCACATGATCAGAAACCCAGTTTCCCCCTGGCTATGTTTTGTCATCTCATAGGGTCTTAACAGTACTCACCTGGATCCTATGTAGCTCATTAGATGGTCGAGCAGGGGGACTGTGGTAGAGGGGGGAAAGTGGAGGAGGTACAGGATGGTAAGGTCTGTGCATAGAAGTAGCATTTACTACTTCCACCCAAGTTGCATTGGCTAGTACTGGGTTACATGACCACACATAGCTGCCTGAGAGGCTAGGAGATATAATCTGTGTGCTAGAGGTAGAGAAATGGTTTTGGTTAATACAGAAGTTTCTCTGCCACACACTCCATCCCCCACTGCATTCACTAGTTAAACCTCCTCTCCCTCCTTCAGGTCTCAGAGACACCTCTTACCTCTCTGACTAGGTCAGATCACCCTGGTACTTTATGCGCCTCTCTTGTGACGCTTACCACATTGTAAATCCATTCTCCTGTATTACTGTCTCTCCAGTGCTTGTTTCCCACTGGATAGTGCTCTTTGAGGGCAGGAATTGTGTCCTGCTTTGCTCATTCCCAACAAAGTGCTTGGCACATGGTAGGTATTCAGTAAATATTTGTTGGTTGAATGAGTAAAAATGAAAGCGAAGTTAGTTGCTCAGTGGAAATCTAGCGCTGTCCAGTAAGGCTGTGGAGGATGCTAGACTGCCCTCCCTCTTCCAGTCGCTGGATTTTAGTATCTTCATTGGGTCCCATGTCTGACCCGATAGCTTCCAGTGTGTGCAGGGGTCTGACAGGCCACTGCCCCATTCCTGGCCACTTTGATCTTGATGTCCCTGATATTTTTCCATTGCTAGTAGATACTCTCACCAAAATGGTCCCCAGCTTCTCCAGGCAGTCTGCTCAACAAAGCTTGTATATTTTTTGCCCTTCAGAGGCTGGGTTGGCCAGTAAGCCACCACTTGCAGGCTGGTTTCACAGGGCATTCTCTGTGTCCCAGACAGCCGTGAGGTTTCCCTTAACACTGGCTCTACTTATCCCTTAGATGTGGGTCCTCCTTTCCCCTTATCCATCACCAGATCAGTGTCCAGGACTGGCCTCAGTGAAAGCGCCATCAGGAGTGTGTAGAGGTTTGTGTTGAGGAAGATGAAGTGTCAGACGAATTGTAACCTGAAGTCAAAGTCAATGCCCTGCCAACTTTCCAAACTCTTTATGAGCAGAGTTTGTTCTTGTGACGAATGTGTTTGTTCTTATTGTTTTGCCACCAGCTTCCCTAATACTTGATATAGGCTACATATCCAGCATGGAGAAGAGAGAAAAATTCTTAGCTCTCAAACTCGCAACACTGATGGTGGAATTTCAGACAGGAGGGGCAAGGTACTCCGCACATGGGCAAGTGATATTGCAGGGACAACGCATCGCCCAGCAGCGAGTGCCATCCACAGCAGCATGTCTTGCCCAATCCCATCCCCAATCCTAGCAAGCATGTAGCCCTGCAGTGAGGGGCCTAGACGTACCTGGGCAGAGGTGATGGGTGGCGTCAACCTGAGAGTCTCTCCTGCATTCATTACAGATTGCAAAGGAGGATGCCGTCCTGCCAGTAGCTCTCTTCCCATCTCTCTGCGAGTTCGTCTTTCATAACAACCCTCTGGTGGCCCATACACGAGGTACAGTACCTGCAAACCTGCCCCTCTCAACCCAGTGCCCAAGGAGCAGCATGGTACCTTCATCCCCACCTTAATCTTGGGATCTACTCTCTGTCGGGTGGACAAGGTTCATGGTACATTGGGGGATGGAGGAAACAGCTCTGTACCAGCTCATCCTGACAGTAACCCTGTGAGGCAGGCATTATTGTCCCCATAGCCAGGGGTAGAAACTGAGGCTCAGGGAGGTTCGTGATCTGCCCAAGGTCACACAGCAAGAAAGAGTCTGAGTTGGGGATGGAAGATGGAATTCTATAGATCCTGGATGAGCTCTTTTGAACTACACCCTACCTGGTGAAACAGTCCTGTCCTGACCTCATTTCCTACTTCCCAGTTGCAGAGGGTTGCAGGCCCAACTGCAGGACCCTCCCTTCCCAGAGGACACTAAATGCAGTGGTGCTGGGTCAGAAGTGGAGCCACTGTGTAAGATACAGGAGCTTGGAGGCATTTTAGAGCCCTGGGCCCTGGAGTAACACCAGTGAAGCTCTGATCCTTGCTCCATACTATCTTTATTACCTTGGACAA